GAATCTAGCTTTACACCAACGAGATGCTGGGCGTTATCAGAAGTGAATGCCTTCGATTGGTAGAACTACTAACACCTCACCGGCGTGAGCTCCTACTACCAACCAGACTTTCAAGAGATCCTCTTTTAACGCATGCCCCCGCACTCAGGGTAATGATTCTGGGTTGTATCCGCATCTGCGCCTGGCCTTTTAAATTGAGCGCAGGGGTTTGGCCGGGCTTGGCATCATCTGCTTAGAAGTAAAGAGACAGGCATTCGCGCCCAGATAAAGATACTAGCAACTTCTAACCCCAGATGGGAAAGGGTCAGGTCCAAGATAAGTTGGTTCAGGACCCCCTCTCCACCAACCATGGGTAGACCATTCAGTATACCAGCCTTAACAGAACCAGGGCACAATTAGAACAAGACACAGCATGTTTGAAGCCTCGCCAACTATGACAAGAAATCTTGACCTTACTTGCGATTTCCACTCAATCCCAGACTTGTAAGTTCTTAATCACCCTCTAATAAAGACTTTGCGATGAGATAAGAGATATTTCTTAGCGTTGTTTTCCTCTTCACCATCTATACGCATGGAAGAGTGCTGCAAATCCGACGAGGCATAATTTTCTCTTCAATAAGCCTAAATAAAGTTTTTCTCAAAACCCCTGCAAGAGTCTATACATTCATGCTTCCTTGAAATCGTACGATCTCTAACCCAGTAGGCGTATGTGTCCAGCTGTTCGTTTGCCCGATCAAGCAGGCGAATGCGCAATTAGACACAGGACATGTACAAACTTACGTGCACATGCTCGCGTCCGATCAGAGGAGCGTACGTAGACCTATGTAAATAGAGGATCAAGTAGTTACATGAGTAGCGAAGGAACCAGATTCCGTTTATCCTCGTTGTCCCTACTCTCACTGAGTCAATCATGCACGGGGTGAGAGTGCAGATGCTAATCAAACACTCCAAGACAGTGCACTGTCAGGCATGCAAAGCAGAACAAAGTGACTCCGGTTCTGCCGGCAGCAAAGCGAGTCTCTCGAGAGATTGACACACTCAATAGGTGATCACAATGGCGCACAACATACCAATAAAATCCAAATTTCTCTTAGTTTCCCCGATCCTTTTAGCCAGCATCTCGCTCATGGCCATCTCCTTCCTGGTGTATCTTAGCTGTAACCATAAGATGGTATTACTTTCTCACTCTCATATACCTTGTTTATAGTGAACCTGTCGTTTCCTAACTTACACAGCCTAATCGGCCGGCCTAATCAGTCAAACCGATTAAATCGATCAGGAAAAGAAAGTTGGATAGGCGATAGGAAGGAGGGAAATTATTCAGAGTTATTTGGCATCTTATCTACAAGCTTCGTCAAAATGAGGACAAAAAATTGTCCAGAAGGTACTCAACAACAATGTCATTAATGCTTTCCTTAGTCCCCCCTAACAAGCCTTCGAGCATCTTCCCATTATACGAATAAGACCAGCTCTGACAAGGCCCCTACCATGGGCCGCTCTTACTAATCGATCTGCCTGATTAACCCTCGGATTGTGAATGTCCGACGTTCGTAAAAAGGAGACTGGGCGCAGACGGACCAGGTAAGTAGAGTCTTCTTTTTCTCAACAGGAGCACCCTTCTCGCCTGCCTTCCCTCGCTTGTTCTCTCCAATAGAGGACGTATCCAGCACTCCCCGCCTGAGGACTTCTCCCGTGACGCCCAGCAAGTGTGCACAACACGAGAGAATGTGGCGCTCAATAATTGCCATCACATGTTTTGTGCAAGAGTCCTCCCAGGTCGTCTCCTCTAGTTGCTCTTCTTCTCTCTTTCACACTCGGGCTTCCTGACGTCAAACAATTACTCACGGCTCTTGACACTCTGCCACCTCTACCACGTAAGTCATGACTTGCCCCTGAAGTCTCATATGCACACCCGGAAAAGGAAACAATGTCGAATCCTTCTTTTCTCTGCAGCTTTCCGTGGAGACGTGTGTCACACAGACCCCAGCCCAATGCGTACTTCTGATGTTTCTTGGTTGTAACATCTCGCCTAAGTATACACATTACTAGCCAATAGTGATGGTGCCAAGGCTGGGGGAACACATGTGCATGCTTAGTTCAAGTTTTGCACCAAGACCCCCACAGTGTAGCCAGGCTTTGCTCACCTAACGAAAGAGCATCTTGCTGGAGCGAAAAACTATGGTTGGCGTCAATCGCGTCAAGTTCAACTCGCGCCCTCCAATGCGCACCAAGAAGAGCTGCAGCCCAGTCTAACTGTCTCACGCCTCCTTACTGTCCATGGAGAAGCCGAGAGGGAGCGCTCATACTACACCCAGAAGCTCACTTTGGTCGGTCGTTTTTCTTTGTTGCTGAGCTAGGTCCAATGGCGGCCAAATGTCATCCATCAATTCCCTCTCCCCTCTGCGTTGCTAGTAAGCCGCAGCTAGCCTTCCTCTCCTCGGCTCTCAGTTGCTCACGAGTACCGGACACATGCCACTCTCCAATTGCCTGCCCCAGCAGAGTGGGTAAAGAACGTGAAGACCCGGGCTCGTCTTGACATCAACATACTTGCGCCCTCCTCTCGCCAACATGTACTCTATCGTCCCTTGACCACGCCACGCGTCGACCAGGTACGGGCGTAACTGCCTCGGGTGTCGCCCCCAGTACTCCACACGTCCCAATCACTCACTCCACATTCTAGTGCATGGTCTGCAGTGTTGACGTCAACTTTCTCTCCTCTCTTCCACGCATTGACCTTTTCTCTCTTTCTCGCACGACCTCTGTCGAATGTCTCTCGTGCCACACGTATCGACTCCCCTCTCGCCTCACGCACGGTTCTTCCTTTTGCCCTGTTTTTCCCCAGTCCCACGGCCTTGGGGCGTCAGCTGTCGTGAGCTGGCCTCACGTCCCTCTTCCACCGGCTTCGCAGCCCGGTGATGCCTCTGGATCTTGCCTGGTCTGATCCAGGACCTGAGGTCCGTCTCCCGGTCCTCTGCCTCGCTCATCTCGCTCTCTCCACCTGAGTCTCGTTCCAGGTGGGCCTGCTCCCAGTCCGCCGTGTCCATCGAAGTCTCGGTCTCATGATAAGAGACCGTTACCTGCATTTTCGCCGTCACACCGTCCCTTCTGCAGTGCCTTTCCACACGATCTTTCGTCTCTGTGATAGCGTCCTATAGCCTTCCATCARTCCGCATCTCCTCCTCTTTTCCTCCCTCCACGTTGATCCTCAGCCTCAGCTCGTCACCCCCATCATAATTGAGTATGGTCGTAATCCAGGGCCCCTCCCCGGACATAGGCTTCCACCGAATCTGGTGGTACCAATAGCAGGGTYTATACCCATGCAACGCCATAGCCACCCAGAGATAGCCACGCCCACAATAGCCAACGCTTAGAACRTTACTCGCTCGTACCGCACTAGAKGGCATAGGCCAGAACAGGACTTAGGCCRCTGGGAGAATACAGCCTCAGCGTTTCACCTCTATTCGCAGCACGTCAGCCTCACATGCTCTCTCGGAAACCCAAGAGCAATCTCCCTTTTTATAACACCCAGTGAGGCCGCGACCCCTGTGCTCAAAACGAGAGTCTCTAGTATCCCTTTTCAGACTTCTGCACTTTGGCTTTCTATAACTTTTATATTAATTAATTTAAAGAAAACAGTCTACACAAAAGGAAAATGAAAAGCGAGGCGCCAACGGTCAAATCTCATTACCACAGGCTGGACACAATAATCCCATAATGTAGTACCGACGGTGCACCTTTTCACTTCAAAAGCAGACTACCGACCTACTCCTACCTGGTGCCCGTATCCGATGGTAAGGAGGGGGCTTATGACCCTCCATGGGGGGGTGATAGGCCTCCTACCGATGCGGCCGCGGGTCGCCCTCTTTTGGGACCTTACCGCACGGCGCCAGATCAGAGTTAGCCCACAGACGGCATACATGGGGTCGGCCTACTTAGGTTGTGGGTCGCTGAGTTCAAAATACGAACCGTTGGCCTTCCCGTGAGATGACAGGCCGAGAGGTGGAAAACCGAAAATATGAAAACTAAATATAATACTAATATTAATAATAATAATAGTAATAAAAATAGTAATAACAATCGCAGAAAGGGAAAGGGTGGCGTTTTCAGAATCTCTCCATGTTGCAGCCTCTCCCGAACAGCGCCCCAAGTTCACGCACAAATTTAAACCCGATTTTCGGTCTTTTTCCCTTCCTTCTTTCTTTTTCATATTTTTCCCCTTTTCAGACCTCACTGTACCTACCCTTTAACATGGCTACCGGGGTCCTACCGCGCGGAGCTCAGACAAGCAGGACTCGGAGCCCAATCCATTGGCCTCCCCACGAAGCAGCAGACCAACAAGGGATGTTGAAAAGAAAAAAAATGATAACCACAAATATTTACAGCGATAATAATAATAAAAGATGAAACGCGGCGATAGCTGGGGACCAGAGACCATCAGATTTCCTCGAACTAAGGCTAGTAGTCTAGCCGCGTTGGTTAAACCCTTGGTTAGCTTTCTTTTTCTCTGACTGCTGTCAGTGTCATGCACCTAACCCGTAACCCTGCTAAAGTCATTCAGTGCGCAGTAGAAAAGACTGCGTCGGTCTGTCTGCTCTTGCGTCCCAGGGCGAACCCGACGGCTACCACGACCACAGGCCGGTAGTGCTCTGCTGTACAGCAGGGCACCGAGTCTGCGTGGACCAATGGAAGTCCTGTGGCGCACCCCTTTTGCCGAGGGCAACGCCACCGGGACTGGTCCACATCATACTATAGCCCAGGTACCAGGTAGGGACTTGGCACACGGAGGAGGGCAGGGACACCACGCCCTCCGGCAGCGGGGGCAAACGGAATGACAGTATTGCGTCTCGTGTGCGCAAACGTCATGGCCACATTGCGACCGACACGGGGCCACGTGTCACGCGGCAGGACCTGGTTGCCGTGTCAAAGGACGAGATGGGAGATCCTTCCAACGATACACGGCTTGACCCGGTTCACGCAGAGGCGTAAGCCTCGGTGACTGATGCGATAGTGACGGAGGAGGATACTGGTTTCAGGATCACTCATCCACGGTCGCCAGCGCCGGTTGTTGGCACTGAGGAGGAGACGGACTTCGGTGGACACGGTACACTCTGCCAGGCGCAGACTCGGTGCACAACAACAGGCGGCCCAGTCCACTCCACAGGAGCGCGTTTGGAGGACGGCGAGGCACGACGTGAGCCGCCTCCTCACACGAGTGACACCGGTCTAGAAGATGGAGAGGTTGCACCTACTCCCACTTGTGGACAGGACGGGGAGGACGAACGTCCTCCGACGGGCCACCAAGTCGGCCTCTACTGCTCGCCCGACAGTCATCCGCGCACCGACGAGTTATTGAACATGGATTCCGCCTTCGCATTACTGTCCGATGTATCGCTATTGATATCTCCCACTTTGGCGGTTGTGGCACCACCGGAGCCTGCTGGACGAGACGACGAGCGTCGCAACAGAGGGTTCGACGAGTTCGGCGGCGACACGATACTGCATCCTTTAGAGTCCGGCACTCCCGCCATTTTTCATGTCGGTGCACCGTGGGCGGTGGAGCAGGGGTTGGCGGAGGAGGTGGCACGAAACCGTCGTGGCGGACCGCCCGTCGCAGCGCAACGTAGTCTGGGAGGTTCACTAGAGGCAGCGTCTGGAGATTTTGTGGCGCAGGGGGTCATGGTTCGCATCAGTTATCGGACGGCGTGTCATCGGTCCGTCCACCGGACGAGGGCGTGCAACGAGAGCCACATCGAGGCTCGACGGAGACTTTAGAGGCGAGGCATCCCGGAGTTATCCACTCGGACAAGGGCGTGGCCCATGATACGGCGCAGCCAGGGAGCGCAAACGCTGGATGGTCCATGGGGGGGGGCATCGAGCGCATAATGTCATCGACCGCACACGGCGTTGGAGGAGGCGTGGGCGGTGGCGGGGGCGGCGCAGACGCTGCACGGTCCATCGGGGGGGGCATCGAGCATATAGGGTCATCGACCACACACGACGTTGGAGGAGGCGGGGGCGGGGGCAGGGGCGGGGGCGGGGCAGACGCTGCACGGTCCATCGGGGGGGGCATCGAGTGCATAAGGTCATCGACCGCACACGACGTCGGACACGCGCACGTAGATGAGCCTCGACCGCATCTGATGGGGATGCGTGACATCATGCGTCCACCACTATCACGCTCCCCTGCCGCTGACCCCGTCGCCCATGGGCAGGCCTCGCAGAGCGCATTGCCGACGAGGTCTTTCTACGACGGTGCGGCCATGGACCAGTGGGAGTGCGATATCGGACATGCATCATCATGCGGACCGGCAGATGTGCCGACGAGGTCTTTCTACGACGGTGCGGCCATGGACCAGCGGGAGTGCGATATCAGACATGCATCATCATGCGGACCGACAGATGTGCCCGCGGGGGTGCGATTGATCGGCAACGTCGATGGCACTTGTCACGGTTCCATGAGAGCTTACGAGGAGCAGCATGGGAGGCCTATACGGGCCAAGACGACCGATGTCCACGAAACCAGGACGGCTACTGCCAGGCTATCACGGACGAGGAAGAAGGGAATAGGTGCGTCCATTCCGTATCACAGGCGCCGCCCGCATCCTTTTTTCCGCAACCGTGACGAGACCGGACAGATGCCAGCTGCTGCAAATGGACGGGGCAGGGTGGACGGAGGTGAGAGAGTGGACGAATCAGGACGAGGTGAGAAGAGACGAGGCGGCACGATCATCATCCACGACGACAGCTCCACAGCCGCTGAGGGTGGTGAGACCACAGGCGCTGACGATCCTAATGACTCCGATTACGTCCCGAGGATCCGGACGGCGGAGGTCGTCCCGTGAGGATGAGGACTGGACCTGGCCCGGAAGGTCATTGCACCCCATCGGCACATTTGTCGTCTATTGATCCACGGGCGCGAGCTCGTTCTCTGTTGCGCGGAATGGAGGCGCAAAGAGAGAGAGAGAGAGAGAGAGAGAGAGAGAGAGAGAGAGAGAGA